AACCAATCTTGAGCCATTCTAAGCATATTTATATTATTTTAATAATAATTTTTACTGTTTTCAAACAAAATATAAATCAGCTTATGAGTACTTCAATTTTGTTAATGTATTTATGTGTGTAAATATGGTATACAGTCGACCCCCCCATAACACTGTTGATTTTTCCGTTTTATATGAATTCCATGTTGTACGAGTCATTTAGATTTTACAAATACATGTGCTGGGCTGTGACCGGCTCACGTATTTGTAAAAGCTAAGTGACTCATACAACATGGAATTCATATAAAACGGAAAAATCAATAGTGTTATAGGGGGTCGACTGTACTTTATTTTTAATTATGGTAATCTATTAAATTTTAATTTGTTACAATCAAAGTTATTCAATATTTTAATTATAGAGATATAATATTACTGGTAATTGTGTTTTTCATGTAGTAATGCACAAAAATTTTATACTTTCTTCAAAATTCTAAAACAATTTTTAAAAATTTCATTATGAATATCCAATTGTTTCTGTAATATAAAAGATAGAAATCTTTTGAAAACTTTTAATATACTTAAATATCATTCAAGGATAATAATTAGCCTAATTAAACCGATCAAAGTATTAATAAAGAAGAAAAATTTTTATATATTAAATTCTCAAATTTAAATCATAATTTATAAAAAAAATTTGGTATTTAATATATTATAATTGTTAAAAAAAGTAAATTTTATATTTGCCAGAAATACACTGTATTAAAGTAATATGGTAAAAAGCCAAACTGGGAACAAAAATAAGGAAAATGAAAATGATAGAAATGTCTTTTTAAAAAAAACAAAGTTTGGGATACTTATTTAGTTTTTAGCATCAAATGAAATAAATAATTTATTCAATTCCATGGAAAAACATCTGTTTAATTCAAATATATTAGAAAATTGGAAATTTCAAATAACTGTGTGTGTGTGTGTGTGTGTGTGTGTATAACTGAATATTAATAAAGTTTAAAATTACTCAAGAACTGTATGGAAATTTGAAACTGCTAACTTTGTATTTTATTTTAAAAATTTCATAACAAAAATGAATATTTGAAATCAATTTCTGTAAGAAATTAGTAAAATCATGCAAGAAAAGCATTGATTAAACTTAAATATATTGTTTTAATTTCAAAATCATTAAGACTTGATCTCCATTTTCTATATAATTCATGTGTAAAATTTCAGCATCATCTCAATGAGCAATTACGTATCGGATTACTATAATATATTGAAACTTAATTTGTCATTTGAGAAGACAATTTAGACTAACTGCTAGTTAGTCTAAATTGTCACACATATATCACATATACATGGAGATACATCCTAATTTTATGAAATTGCAAATATATGTATATACAGTAAAATGAAATTTAAAAATATATTATCATTTAGATATCCATTTGTAATACATTTCAAGTAAATATTAAATTGGTTTTTTATGTAATATATACAGTATATTTTTTATATTATTAAAAACAAATTAAATTAAAATTCCTTTTAAGTTTAATTTGTTTATGAATGATATATTAGAGAGTTATTGTTATATTGTTACATATAACTTTTAAAAATGATGTTTAGTGAAAAGAACCTATATTTATTATAATAAAGATATAATAAAAATTCACTTTAGATTTAAACCAATAAAAAATAACAAAAAAAAGTATATCTAGCATTCTCTTTTATTATATTTATGTTTTAAATTTTAAAGAGTGAACAAGCAATAATTTTCATTTAATCCTGAATGTATCTAATTGAAATTATGTACTGGTATAATATATATATGAATTATTTAAAATTTTTAAACATGAACAAAACAGTATAATTCATTTACTCATTATTCAGTGTTATAAAAAATATATTGTAAATTCATAATTAAATATTATTACAAAATATATTCAAATAATAAAATATTTAAATCTTAGTTTAGAAGCCTATACTCAAAATATGTTAATTATGATGTATAGACTTCTGAAAAAGATTTAGAAAATGTTTGTCCAGTAGCAGACACCTAAGATTTTTTTGATATTGGTAAAAAGTAATAGACAAATCATAAAAATAATTTATTAACTTTAATGAAACTTGGTACCATATTGACAATCAGATAGACAATAACTAGCTATTTCGGATACCAAAAATTATTTAAAAAACATTTTTCAGTTCTCCTAGAACTATCATCAGTTCAAACTTGTAAAATTTTCTTATGAATTTGCTATTTTTATTTGAAACAACTTATGTAAACAATTTTAAATTTTGAAAATCAGTTAAAAGGGATAATTTTCTTCTATATTATGGATAATTTCAATTTTTGGACTGCAATTTGAAAAAAAATGAAGACTATGAATTCCCACTGTTGTCACTCAGTCTGTCTTTCCTTAATCTTGAGAACAGAGTTAGATAGATAAAAGACAAAACCAAATATGGAAACTCTAGGGGCAGGAGAGTCCGATTAACTATATATGAACTTCTGATGCAAACCAGAAGTCATGTTATTTCAATTCAAAAATTTTTCTTCTGAAAGATGTTAGATAGATGACTGGCAAGACTATTGTTAAAGGAAAAATATGATGTACAGGGGCAAGCCACTACTAATTTGAAGTGGAGAGCGTATATTTTAATTTAAATTAATTAAAAATATAATTAAAAAATTGCAGCCTGGCATTGTGATGATGTCACAATAAATAATTGCTTGTTATAATTATTTTTGCATATTTTTATTGAAATAAGTTACATATACTTAAATACATAGTTATAGCTTTTGTTTTTCCTTCAAATTTTCAGTAATGACTGTTACTGTTTCCAATGTTAATTCTGTAACAAGTATGAGACTTCCAAGTGCTGATGACATATTTGTTACACCTTGGTCAAAAGTAGAAGATTTTATTTTTATTCCTCGACAAACTCTTTTAGATTCTGCAAGAAATGGTGAGATGTTCATGAATACTTTTTTCAAATATATCATAATTACAATATTTATAATTTAAGTACATTGTTTATTTTAATATATGTTCAAATATTTTATTTTTTCAGGTATGGTCAAAATTATATATCTGAGTTATAAAAAATTAGCAAATATTTTAGATCCTTCTCCAAAAATGGATCAGATTTCATATTATGAAATGCCAGATTCTATAAATGAAGATAAAAAGATCCAAGTTATAAACAGTAGAATAGTTACAGCATCATTAGGTCGCATAGGATTAATTGAATTATCAGAACCAATTGCTATAATATTAAAAAATTCTCATGTAAGTAAATTTCATATAAATTTTTAATTTAATATCATATAAAAGTTCAACATGTTTGCTATCAAGAAAAGCCATCAAAATTATAAACTATGACCATTCCAAAAAGTTTATCTATTTTATTCTCATTCTCAAATAATATAATAGATTTATTATGGATATTTTATGTTAATGGACAATGTTAAAATNTGTATACAGAATGTTATTTCTGTTAATTAATTAATGATGTATAGACTTCTGAAAAAGATTTAGAAAATGTTTGTCCAGTAGCAGACACCTAAGATTTTTTTGATATTGGTAAAAAGTAATAGACAAATCATAAAAATAATTTATTAACTTTAATGAAACTTGGTACCATATTGACAATCAGATAGACAATAACTAGCTATTTCGGATACCAAAAATTATTTAAAAAACATTTTTCAGTTCTCCTAGAACTATCATCAGTTCAAACTTGTAAAATTTTCTTATGAATTTGCTATTTTTATTTGAAACAACTTATGTAAACAATTTTAAATTTTGAAAATCAGTTAAAAGGAATAATTTTCTTCTATATTATGGATAATTTCAATTTTTGGACTGCAATTTGAAAAAAAATGAAGACTATGAATTCCCACTGTTGTCACTCAGTCTGTCTTTCCTTAATCTTGAGAACAGAGTTAGATAGATAAAAGACAAAACCAAATATGGAAACTCTAGGGGCAGGAGAGTCCGATTAACTATATATGAACTTCTGATGCAAACCAGAAGTCATGTTATTTCAATTCAAAAATTTTTCTTCTGAAAGATGTTAGATAGATGACTGGCAAGACTATTGTTAAAGGAAAAATATGATGTACAGGGGCAAGCCACTACTAATTTGAAGTGGAGAGCGTATATTTTAATTTAAATTAATTAAAAATATAATTAAAAAATTGCAGCCTGGCATTGTGATGATGTCACAATAAATAATTGCTTGTTATAATTATTTTTGCATATTTTTATTGAAATAAGTTACATATACTTAAATACATAGTTATAGCTTTTGTTTTTCCTTCAAATTTTCAGTAATGACTGTTACTGTTTCCAATGTTAATTCTGTAACAAGTATGAGACTTCCAAGTGCTGATGACATATTTGTTACACCTTGGTCAAAAGTAGAAGATTTTATTTTTATTCCTCGACAAACTCTTTTAGATTCTGCAAGAAATGGTGAGATGTTCATGAATACTTTTTTCAAATATATCATAATTACAATATTTATAATTTAAGTACATTGTTTATTTTAATATATGTTCAAATATTTTATTTTTTCAGGTATGGTCAAAATTATATATCTGAGTTATAAAAAATTAGCAAATATTTTAGATCCTTCTCCAAAAATGGATCAGATTTCATATTATGAAATGCCAGATTCTATAAATGAAGATAAAAAGATCCAAGTTATAAACAGTAGAATAGTTACAGCATCATTAGGTCGCATAGGATTAATTGAATTATCAGAACCAATTGCTATAATATTAAAAAATTCTCATGTAAGTAAATTTCATATAAATTTTTAATTTAATATCATATAAAAGTTCAACATGTTTGCTATCAAGAAAAGCCATCAAAATTATAAACTATGACCATTCCAAAAAGTTTATCTATTTTATTCTCATTCTCAAATAATATAATAGATTTATTATGGATATTTTATGTTAATGGACAATGTTAAAATTTAAATTTTACAACTTAAACAAAAATCAAAATTACATATGGAATTTTAACAATACAAAAAAGACAACATTGTAATATTTCAATATTAGTAAACATGTTACAAATAGATATTTTTGATTTGATTAAATAATAATAAATTATATTAATATTTATTTTTTAATTACAATATTAAAACAAAATCATTAATTAAAATATTTAATTATATTATGAAATCTTTATTTATTCTTAACAGGATGAAAACAATGATACAAAGTCTGAATCTTTATTTCCCTGTTGTGTATATTGGGATTTTGAATTAAGGTAATATATTTTTAAAGTAATTAAAAGAAATTTGTATCATTTCATTTAAGTAATACATTTTGAATTTTATTTCAAATTGAAATACCAGAAAGATTTTGGAATTTGTTTTATATAATCATTTACATATTTATACACTACTATATACAGCTACATCCTGTATATGGCTGGATGGTGAAGCGGTTAAGGTGGCAGCCCATCACTTTGAGGATCCCAGAATTGAATCAAGACAGATCAAAAAATCCTAGGAATTTTTTGGCAAGCAGTCTGTCTTGGATATGTCCAACCCTGTTTTTCACTACCCATCCAACTAGCCAAACCCATAATAGGCTTGCTAAAAAGACCCTAGTGCTCACAGGGTAGATAAGGTTAAAAAAAAAAAGCCATGCCCTGTATATGAACTCTATATCCAAATACTTGCTAAAATGAATGATGTTTAATTGTATCTGAATCAAATAGTTCTGGCATTATGAATTTCTTTTGAAGTGCATTTGTACACTACTATATACAGCTACTATATACAGCTAAAATCATGCTAGTAAAAATGAAGTAGAAAGTGATTCCACTCTCACTATCTGTTTTCATTTGTTTCAGTGATATTGTTTTGTCACGGTTATGTAATTAATGATTTTTATCATAAAATTTTAGTGTAATCTTAGCTTATTCTGAACAATTTATTATAATAGGTTAGTGAACTTATTATAATAAATTACTATCCTATTATTATAAATTAATAATAAATTACNACAGGATGAAAACAATGATACAAAGTCTGAATCTTTATTTCCCTGTTGTGTATATTGGGATTTTGAATTAAGGTAATATATTTTTAAAGTAATTAAAAGAAATTTGTATCATTTCATTTAAGTAATACATTTTGAATTTTATTTCAAATTGAAATACCAGAAAGATTTTGGAATTTGTTTTATATAATCATTTACATATTTATACACTACTATATACAGCTACATCCTGTATATGGCTGGATGGTGAAGCGGTTAAGGTGGCAGCCCATCACTTTGAGGATCCCAGAATTGAATCAAGACAGATCAAAAAATCCTAGGAATTTTTTGGCAAGCAGTCTGTCTTGGATATGTCCAACCCTGTTTTTCACTACCCATCCAACTAGCCAAACCCATAATAGGCTTGCTAAAAAGACCCTAGTGCTCACAGGGTAGATAAGGTTAAAAAAAAAAAGCCATGCCCTGTATATGAACTCTATATCCAAATACTTGCTAAAATGAATGATGTTTAATTGTATCTGAATCAAATAGTTCTGGCATTATGAATTTCTTTTGAAGTGCATTTGTACACTACTATATACAGCTACTATATACAGCTAAAATCATGCTAGTAAAAATGAAGTAGAAAGTGATTCCACTCTCACTATCTGTTTTCATTTGTTTCAGTGATATTGTTTTGTCACGGTTATGTAATTAATGATTTTTATCATAAAATTTTAGTGTAATCTTAGCTTATTCTGAACAATTTATTATAATAGGTTAGTGAACTTATTATAATAAATTACTATCCTATTATTATAAATTAATAATAAATTACAACTCATTTGTTTATTTTCATTATTATTCTGCTTTGTACATTATCATTATAACATTTTCATTGCTATCTATTACATATTTGTTACACCTTGGTCAAAAGTAGAAGATTTTATTTTTATTCCTCGACAAACTCTTTTAGATTCTGCAAGAAATGGTGAGATGTTCATGAATACTTTTTTCAAATATATCATAATTACAATATTTATAATTTAAGTACATTGTTTATTTTAATATATGTTCAAATATTTTATTTTTTCAGGTATGGTCAAAATTATATATCTGAGTTATAAAAAATTAGCAAATATTTTAGATCCTTCTCCAAAAATGGATCAGATTTCATATTATGAAATGCCAGATTCTATAAATGAAGATAAAAAGATCCAAGTTATAAACAGTAGAATAGTTACAGCATCATTAGGTCGCATAGGATTAATTGAATTATCAGAACCAATTGCTATAATATTAAAAAATTCTCATGTAAGTAAATTTCATATAAATTTTTAATTTAATATCATATAAAAGTTCAACATGTTTGCTATCAAGAAAAGCCATCAAAATTATAAACNAACAGATATAGGAAACCCTTGTCAGTTTGAAATTCAAGGGAAAAAATAATTGCAACTTCAAATTATTGAAGATTTACATATATCTATACAATATGCCAAATGCCATGTAATTGATGTAATTTATTAAGCAAACAGAATATGACTATGTATACATGGGTGGATATACATAAGGACTAATAGGGACTAATAGGGCTTAAGCCCTGGGCTCCCAAGTATCAAGGGCCCACAAAAATTGAATTGTCATAAATTTTGAATACTTTTTCATTAGTTAATTTCTCATTAACAATGAACCCTTATCATATAATAAAAAGTAGTTACTATAAATTATCATCATTATTATTATGTTTTATTGTAATCAATTGATTTCTTAATCTAACAGAAAATGGGGCCCCATTGGACTTCAATAAGCACTAGGCCCCAAAAAATCTAGATCTGCCCCTATGTATACAGAATGTTATTTCTGTTAATTAATTAATAATAATTACTGTAATAATAATATAAATAAACTTCATGTAAACAGCATGTTTGGTGAGAACCTCACAGGTTGTTCAGATAAGTTTCATAAAAAGTAAAGCAAAATTTCTCAAAATGTAGCTCAAATTATTTTTAAAGTAACTCAAAAAGTAGTAAGTTGCCCAAATCTAGTATCCTAGAGCCCTACAAATATCTCAATCTGTTACTTATAGTTCAATCTTGCAATCCTGAAACTCAGACATATTTTATGAGATAAGAGGAAAAAAGATTATTCCATGGATAAGGTGACCTCCCTAATGACCATGGCCCTCATATGGTAGTGATTGACCGGACCCTAGTCAGGGAGCCCAGTATGATGACTAGCTTGTATTTTTTGTTTTGCTTGGATTTTCTTGTGTAATATTGAGTTCGATTTAATTGGAGTACAGTATTTAATTCCTGTCATTCTTTCAGTTCTTGTGTTGGTTACTATTTTGTTTTTGTTTTTAATGTTGTGTTTGTCAGTGTAATTCCTCTATTGTCTCTAATAAATCTTTTATGCTTTTGTAAATGCATGCTTAATTTGTAAAAGAAAATAATATTTTTTGTCATTTAGCTGCCTTATCATATAGGCTTGCTAAAAAGGCCCTTTAGTGCTCACAGTGGTAAGTCAGCTAAATGATTAGGTCTCTTGCCTCAAACCACTAAGGTCTCCGGTTCGAGTGGGGAGGGGAGGGGAGAGGAATCACCAATGATCCTGGTCTGGGGCCCCATTGTAAAATGTGGGGGCCATGAAGGTGACACGCAAAAATGTGTTGCTGTAAAAGCAAAGCCATGTTGACCAGATTAGAGTTGTTCTTGGTTTATTGTTTTCTTATAATATGGAGGCACTTTGATCTAAATGAATGAGTTCGGACAAAATTTTCCTTTGAATTTTTTTGAACTAACCGAATTCCTTAACAAGTAAATTTCTATATTCTCGGCCAGGACAAATAGTACAGTTACGAACTAATGGGATTTTTAAATATCTGAGTTCAAATTAACGAAGAGTTCCTGTACTATTAATTTTGATTTTATTATAAATGCACAGGAATTATTTTTGAATATTAAAAAATATCTTTATTTCAGGTCTTGGTCTGACAACGGATGTTGGGTTCAGACATTTAATAGAACTCATACTGTGTGCAGATGTAATCATCTTACAAATTTTGCAGCAGTTCTCATGAAGAGAAGATCAGTACAAGTAAGAATTTATTATAGTAAACTTTATAAATATATAAATGCTTTTATTTTGTTTTATTTTAATGTATTGACTCTTTTCAGTTATCTTACAAGAATGAAACATCACTAATTGTAGTTACTTATATTGGTTGCATCATCTCCATAGCATGTTTATTACTTACAGTTCTAGCATTTCAAATATTCAGGTAAAGAGAGAATTTCTACTTTATAATACTTTTGTTATTATGATTAATTTTATTAAACTTTCTTTTCTTTCTAGGGAAATTAAAAATGATCATATTACTATTCATAAAAATTTATGTATTTGTCTTCTGATAGCGGAAACTATTTTTATTGGTGGAATTAATCAAACTCATTTGAGAATCCTATGTGGAATAGTGGCTGGATTATTACATTATTTTTTTCTATCTGCATTTCTTTGGATGCTTTTAGAAGGATTTCATATTTATATTTTATTAGTTGAAGTTTTTGAATCAGAGAAATCTAGAATTAAATGGTATTATGCAATAGCTTATCTTTTACCTGCAATAATTGTTGGAATATCTGCGGCTGTGGATCCTTACAGTTTTGGAACTGAACAGCATTGCTGGTTAAGAGCAGATAATTATTTTATCTTCAGTTTTATTGGCCCTCTTATATTAGTAGTAATGGTAAGTTTATAATTTTTTTCATTATCTGCAAAACATCTTTGAAATAATGTTTTAAAATAGTTTTAATATTAATTCATTTGGTACATTTTGGTTAATGGGATGCCAGAAGACTATTGTGTTTAACCACTTAGCCCAAACGACTGTGCCAGCTTCGAGTAGCCCACTTGACTGTTCGTGGAGTACTTGATGTTATATAGTTTTAGGGGAGTGTGGAGACTTGTTCCCACCTGGGCGCTGAGGTGTGAGTGATAACAAGCACCAAGGCGCATATTTACATGTAAAGCATGTAGAATAGGCATAGACTAATAAATGTTAAAAACTGACCTTTGGAGACAAATATCTTGCAAAGGGTCAACAATTCTGGGGGGGTGGTGTGAAACTTTTAATTCAAAGCTTGAATCTTACCCATTGCTCTACATATCGGCTGGTGTCCCATTAACCAAAAAGTACCATTAAGTTTTTCATTCCCACAAAACTTTTGAGTACAGTGCATGACTGATAAGTTTCAAGACCTCCTCATGTAAGCGGAAATTTGCATAAAATAGAGAACCCCATTAATTATTAAGTATTTCCTATACCATCAATGGTAAACCCATGACTCTCATGATTTCAAGGTACCCACATTGAATGCTTATAAAGTGTTAGGTTTTTATAATTTATCGTAAAGCTTTCAAGAAGTCTTAAAGGCCACAAATTATGAATCTCAAATAGAAAAATTATCATTAAATAAACAACAGCAGATTTTCCATTAAATGAAATACTTGTTTCTGTTATAATTACATTATTATTTTCTTTTTGCTTATATAGATTAAAAAGTTAAATACAGTAAAATTTCTAAGCATTTAGCTATTTCTAAGCATTCATTCATGTCATGCAGACATTTGAGCATCATGTCCTGTTGTCCCTCAAGTGCTTGGTGGGAGTACAAATATGCCACTTCAGGAGCACAATGTAACAAATGTCCCTCATAAAGGTAGAATTCCTTGGTGCCCTTGATTTACTAACTGGATGATGCTATTATATTGTACAGGATGCATTGACAGCTTATTGAACAGTCTGTCACAAGATGGAAATGTTCTTGCACATACATACAGTATTATAAGTCAACCAGTAGTCCAATACAGCACCCCAATATAGCTTGAGTGATATCTGTGAAGTTTTCTCTGGCTCCCAGGAACTAAAACACTCATTGAAAGCATCTATATGGACAAGCAAGAAAATTTAATTTGTTAAATTATGAAGGCAAAACTTCTGGTGAAATGTAACTTTGATGCCTGCAAATACCTGCCAATTCCTCAATATCTGCACTTTTTCACACAGGATTTAAATTATCTGCAATTGGCAAATTTCCTTCCATGTAGCAGCATATCAGATGAAGACTGATGCAGATCCCAGTGTTTTGTGCAAAACAAAGAAATGAGTGAATTAATTAATGCTTTTCCAGATGAGAACAAGTGTCACTTAGTTAGTGAGATGCTGTGAGATTTCACACACACACTAAAAAATGGCCTGCAATTAGAATTTTTATTTTATGTATTTTTCCTTTTTTTAACTATCAGTAATGTAAACCTGAAAGCACATGAGACAAGTCTGTATGGGGGTTCTTACTATACAAAGGGTTTTTTTTTTTTTTTCTTTTTTTTTTTATATGGCAAACACTTAATTATGATACATTTTCAGATTTTCTTTGACATTATTATTAGATATTTTTATATTCTATATGCAAGTTTTAATAAATATTTGAAATTTATATCTTGATTAAAGTGGCTATATGTTCCAATTTAGATGAGACAATTTAAAATAAATTTTTGTTTTTTTTCATCTAATGCACATTAATTAATACTTTTGTTAATGCATATAAAATGATAGATTTTTATGGCTACCAACACCCTTATCAGCATGTGCTAAAAATATTTTTTTTACATCATCATCTACATCAGTAATTTCCAAACTTTTTCAGTCACTGCCCTTGGTTCCATAAACTTATACCCAATCATTCTTCCAATGCTACTTAACTCATCTTCCTTTGAGTAAGAAAGGCTTGAAAAAATTTTTCTATGAACCTCATGCTTTGTGTTCTTGCAGTACATTGTTTTCTATATTGGAAACCATTAAACATAATGTTTCTTCTTACCCATTTTAATGGAGGAAAGGGAAAGGTTGTCAGTGATCCCAACCCTCACCTATGGTCATTGTTTGGTCAGGACCCTGACTCCAGCACCCCCTGCTGCCCCCTTCCTTCTTTTCACCTCACTATGTTTATTCACCTTCCTACAGAGGTTGGTAGCACCCACTTTGGGAACCACTGATCTACATCATTATATTAATACCTACCAAGTTTTGCAATTGTTGGGCTAACAGATGTTTTTCTATAAGTGTTGGATACCCCTGTAGAAAGACTTTGGTTGTAAGGTTGGAACTTTAATTCTGATCATTTTGTATGTTAAAATCTTTTTATTTCATTGAATATTTTCTGAATATAAAACACATATGTTAAAAAAATATACAGTATACTGTATATGTAGTAAAATCTTCATAAATTGGAATTGCATAACACCAAATACTTTTTTCTGGTTTGGCAAGTTTCTATTTTGAACAGGTTTTTTTTTTTTAATATAGAAAATTGCTCCATTCTGAAGAATTTTTCCTGTATAGGCAGGTTCCATTTTGGACAGATTTTACTTTACACATTTTCAAATTCAGTATTAATAAATTATCCTATTCATTTATATAATTATTACTTATGAGCTTTTGAGTATATCAAAAACTATATACAAGGTGGCAAAAAGTCTGTAAAAACTTCAAATTCATACAATTTGTAAACATTTGTAAAAAATGGAAGAATTATTGGAATAAAATGCAGTTTGCTTGATAACTATTATTAGCACCAGTTGACGGGAAAAAACTAACAATATCTTCTGGTTTAATTATCAATACCAATGAACAACATTACTTAACCTTTAATTCTGGTAACATAGCATTTAATACAATATCGAATGAATGCTTTCGACCTTACCTGAGGTCTGCTTCAGGTTCTTAAACAAACTGTATTCCAAAAATGGAATGTTTAGAATCGAATGTATAAGAATCTTGACCTTGGGTAAGGCCGAAAGCATTAGTTTGATATTGTATTAAACGCTATGTTACCGGAATTAAAGGTTAAGTAATGGCGTTCAGGGAAAAAACTGGTTCCAAAAATCAATGATAGGTGGCATTGACACACAAAAGAGATATAAACAACAATGAAAATGACTTTAAAAATGTTTATTAGACATGTGTTTGACATGGTCTCCAGCACAGGATATAACACAATTTAGCAGAGTAACAAAGCCTGCACGTGCAGAGTTTGGCATGCTCAGATGGATAAATGTTACCCTAAAGAGAATAGCATTTTTCAATTCGAACAATGTAGAAGGACCTGAAAACACTTGGAAATTTATCCCTCAATCAGAAATTGTATTGAAGGTCATTTTCATTGTCATTTGCACATCTGTTTGTTGTCTTTTGTATATCAATGTCACCTATCAGTAATTTTTGAAACTAATTTTTTCTCCCTATCAACAAAACCCTGTGCTGACAATATTTATGATGAAAACTACATTTCATTTGATAATTTTTTCATTTTTTATGAATGTTTTGTGACTGTATGCCATATTGTCTGCTTTTCTTTTTGTTCTTCGTACATTTTTTTCCTGTTTTGTTCTTTCTACCTTCTAAAACTTTCTAATATCCTTAATTCTTCTTCCTTGGAGGTGAGGGCCATTTTCAGAAATAATCAGTATAATAAGTAAGAGGTTACCTGAGGGCATTCAAGGCGAAGAAGAGTCACTTTTGAGTTGGTGTTCAAAGAGAGAGGTTGAACTGAGGGGATATGAAATTGTTCAATACCTTAGTATACAGGTAAAGTTGTAACTTCAAGAGGAAATCTGAAATTCCTGGACTGTTAGTGTGGGATTTGATATCAACTTGACCAGTTGCGAGTTTTCAAATAAGTGACTGACAGATTGGTGATCAAAACCCTCAGGAAACGAGAAGAAAAAGAGTAAAGTGTTAATTTGTGCAAGAAGTTCCATGTGACCCTTCACAACAATGAGAGCTTATACGTTCACAGGACCCAGGTGACTTTGTTCTGTCCTAGCCACCATCTTTTCTACTTCTCATCCCCTATCTTCATTTTTCCATATTAGTGTAAGTTTAGTATTAAAGGTTAGTTATAGGAATTTTATTTTGTAATTATCATTCTTGTTTATTGTACGGATAGTATTATTGTGATTCAATGTTTTGTGGTCATTTACTAATTTTGTAATTGTTCTGCTGGTGATTGGGTCTAGGGTTACTGTCAGAGAAACCATCAGAATTGATTGGCAACGTTGATTGAACCTGTATATAGTTATATCATGCATAAATAAATACATTTTTCTAACATCTATTGTGTGTTTAGTTTGTTAAGTGTTTGCGTTAGTGGGCTAACAAAAATTCTTTCATATATATTACAGTTTAAACTTTTTATAAACTTTTTACACACCCTATATTATATTTAATAATATATAAATTGTGGTATAAACAAAATTTGCATAAAATGAACATTAATGTAGTAAAATAAATACTCTTCATTTCAACATACAATTTTAATCTTTATAATAATTTTTATAATAACTGTATTATGATATAATTTCATTATTCATTTTTTAAAATATAATAATACATTTATGTTTATAATTGAAATAAAATTGTTATTTTAACTATTTTATAAACTTATTTATAAATTAAAATATTGACTTCAAAAACTTATAAAATTAATTTTATTTTTAGATCAATTTTTTCTTTCTTGGATTCAGTGCCTTCATTATCTGCCATCGAAAAAAACATAATTCTACAATTAAAACTAAAGAACAAAGCAAATTAGCAAATACTAAGTAAGTATATATAAATAAAGATATCTTTTTAAGAAATTAAGGACACTTTTCAAGGGAGAGCAGAACTTAAAAAAAAGGACTGTCCTCCCTAAAGGAGGACTATTGGTCACCTTACTATAATATTTATTTTACAGACGTACTGTTTACATATGATTCACAAAAATTACACATGTTTAGAGTTGAGAAACCTGTTTTTAGGTGTGCTGTGACTATATGTTTGAACCAACTCTAAAATTTATGGAATACTAGCATGCAGTAGCAGATTAATAAATGTCCAGACTATATACATGGAACAGGGGCCATCAATTTAGTAAACTCTAGACCCTAGCCTATGTCCTATGTGACTTACTTTTCATTAAAATAAAAACTTCAATAAAAGTGTAAACCACTTTTATTTTGCTTGTATAATTTGCTATTCCCTCATTCATAGTTTTTACCCTTCAGGCCTCCTCTACTGTCTTCCCTATAAGTATGTTAGAAAAAAGTGTTTAGGAGTGTTTTGTGCATATTCTGTTTAGAAAAACCCAAAGTCAGTCACATCTATTGTGGAAGAATGTCTTATTTTATAATCCAATATACTAATCCCTTCTATTTATATATAATGTACGTACTGGATAACTAAATCCAAATAAAACATACCTTTAATAATCCAGCAAATAGATATTAGTAAAATAAAAACATTTTTGACTGTTTTTTTTAACAATCTTCCTCAGTTAACATAAAAATAGAACGTAAATATGAAAATATAAATAACAGAAAATGTAGTTGTGGTCAATAAAATAAATGAACACATAAATAATATAAATTAAGTTGAAAATGTCACTTAACAAAATAAAATGAAACTAAAATACAAATGTCTCTTAATAACATTAATTTTCGTAAAAGAACCACAAATTAGAATGATGCAAACCGATGTGATTACCCTCACTAGTCCCTAACTTTCTAAGGTGGTGACAGACCAGAGCTCTGTGCCATGCAACAAACAAAATGTTTGCTGGTTTAGACAGCCTGTGAACATACACTGCTCCATTACTGCAGCTGCATGCCCCAAACCATTTTCTGTTGATCTTTGCCATGAACGCAAAGTGTTTTGCCAGTGCAGCATTTTTTATTTTTGATGCTCACACACACCTTGGTACTGATACGTGTGATACAAAATGATCTTTACAAATCTTAAACATAATACATAAGTTTATGACACATAATTGACAAAAACTTAATCTTTCCAAAACTCGGGACTTTTTTTAAAATGCTCTGGGACACGGGACAAATTGTTAAAAATTGGGACTGTCCTGCCAAAAGCGGGATGTCTGGTCACCTTATATATATGAGAACTACTGAGGGGTTTAGCCATTTTTAGTCCCCCATAGCTATGACTCTGCCAATACAATAATTAGTTCAATTAGCAAGAGTATACTGTATTACAAAAAATATTAATGTAAAAGTTTTATTAAATGTAGAGTAACTTTTAGGTAAATTTAAATGTAGTTCATTCATGTATGATCCTTAAAACACATAAATGAGTAAAATTATGACATGAATACAAGTTTAACCTTTATATTAGAAGATAAATTAATTTAAAAAAGTTTACTCATCCTTTCATATGTCATATTTTCATTTTTAATTACTGTAATATCTTTTAAAAGAAATAAAAAACATGTAGAAATGAATGCATGTAATAATAATAAATTAATAATAATAATATTATGTAATTTTAATTTTTTTAAATCAGAATTGTTATAAAAGATGATATAAACACTTGTAGTTCATTTATAACAACTTTTATAATAATTGTCAAAGCAGTTAAACATTATTCATATTATGAAATTTTTTTTATAGGAATTATATTAGGGGAGCATCAATGTTGGTTATGCTATTAACCATAACATGGATATTTGGTGTAATATATTTAAGAAAGGAATCAATTATTATGGCTTATATCTTCACAGTATTTAACAGTTTACAAGGACTATTTATATTTATCTATCATTGCATGAAAAATGAAAAGGTATGTATGTTTTTATATTTTACTTTTGTATTGTATTATTAACTATATACAATACATATACACTTTGCTGCAATTTATAAACAAGATAGCCTTATTAGAAATAAGTAATACTGTATTTATTTTGAATTTTACCAATAAAGAAAAAAGAAATTGTATGTTTGCACTTGTTTGGTTCGTTCTAAAGCACTTACTATCCCTGTCTATATCTAATATTCACTCTTTTAACTTGTGACTTTTTGTTAAATCATTATATGCAAGCATATACTTTCTGTGCTCGTCACATCTCATTTTATTAAGTGCTGTTCTACCCATAAATCAATTATGGAACCAACAAGAAAGAAAATCAAGCAACTGTGTTCACATAACAAAAGTTGGGAAAAGATTATGAATGGTTGGCAGTAATTACTAGTGATGTAACGAATATTCGGTTACTATTCGGTATTCAGCCTATTTTTCGCTATTCGGCCGAATACCGAATATTTAATCACTATTCGGCCAAATACCGAATACCTAAAAACAGGAGTAAGAAATAACAAAAACACAGTAAATTAATCATTCTGGTATTTATATTTAATGTTATCGGGTTAGTGTTGTTTGTTTATATTTATTTATAACTTATAACATGCACAAAATAAAAAAGAAAATAGTAATAGTCATATGTATTCACAATTTATAATTACAAAGATCAGCACCAAATACAGTACACACCTATTCGTTCGAGAATCGTCGCACATCTGAGGGTCTGACCCTGCCTATCCTTCTTTTTAAGTGCTCGTCTTTGCTCTTCCCTTTCTCTTTCCTCTATCGTTCTAGTCCACGTATGACCATGCATACATCATAATACACTCTCACGATACTTTCGATTCGTCACTTTTCCGTCGTAGATTTCTCATTTTACAATTACGTGACTCATAGCGTGGTGATAACGGAGAAAAGAGACATATAGGACGTCGGTGCAAGTCACAGTTATGATTTTACAGATTCGAGACAACTTGGTAGCCCGAATGGCCCAGGGCTTTTGCCCGTGCACGCTAAGTGACTTTCATTACAAGCATTTAGCTTTCCGAAGTCTATGACAACAATTGTTTGTCATTGACGGCCATGAATTTCGCACCGATAAGCTGCCTCGACTTGTTCGATTATGTTATCAACTCAATTTCATATTTATTTTGACATTTTCATTTTGCGGTCTTTCTCTGTTCTTTTTCCGTTATTTACACGTGTAGGTCATTTCATTGTTATCCACATTTGATATCATCATTTATCACATACTGCCATGACGCTCTTGTCTGTCCGCTACAACTGTCAAGAATTAACGCCATTGACGAAGCGTAGTGACAGCGGACCAATAGAGAGCAGGGTGCGCGAACCTTGCGATAATGCGGTTTGCGCGCCAATTTTCGCACGTGCTTTAATCAAGCCGAATAGTTTGGCTGAATATTCGGTATTCGGCCTGAGGCCGAATATACTATTCGTTACAACACTAGTAATTACTAATCCACAAGAAGCAAAGTGTAGTATTTATCAAGGTGTTTTCAAAATTGGATATATGGGTGTTTCAGTAATAAGACAGCATAAAATTCAGATTGTCATAAGAATAAAAGCAGTGTGTTATCTTCTAGTTCTGCCTTGAAACTGATGCTTCAAATAAAAAAAAACATGAAAATATTCCACGTGTATGTTCAATATTTTAATATTGAATTTGATACAGTGAATTATATAATTGACTTTTTTGAGAAGGCAGATAAAAGTGCAGATGGAACGTTCCAATGTTTAAAAAATACTATGGACAATTTGCAACTTGATTGGAAAAGAATTTCTTGTTTTAGTGCAGATAATGCAAAATGTAATTTTGGAATAAGGCATTTTTTATACACTAACATCCTTACATTAAACGGTGTTGTTAAAGCTAATTGCAATGCTCACATTTTACATAATACAGTAAAATGTGCTATGGGAAACTTGAATGTGGACATAAAACATATTGTCCTAAAAATCTATGGCCATTTTTCAATGTCAGCAAAGAGACTGAAAACTCCAGAAGCTTTTCATTCATTTGTAGAAACAGAATTCAGTGAAATTCTAAGGCCTGTGATTACTAGGTGGATCTTTGAAGTCATGCATTGAAAGAATTTTACTTTTGTGGAAAGCCTTAAGTTTTTATTCTTAAGCAGACCAACTGATTGTTTTAAACAGTTATTCAAACTGCTTTTAATTGATGACAATTCTACAGAAATTACACCAATTATTGAAATTTATTTATTATTCTTGCAACATATAATGCGAATATTTAGCTTAGCTGTTGAAAAGCTAGAGAAGAATAAAACTTTTGCAGCAGATGTTTTCAATATTTCGACCAAATTAAGAAATGAGCTAAAATCTTGATATGATGAGGAATATTTTTGCTTTCAAGTTTATCAACATTTTAAAAAATTAGGTAATGCTGAATCTCAAAAGATTATTTATTACTTCAGCAATTACTTATTTAGAAAAACACTAACTTTGATGAAAATTCAACATTTGGCAAATTGTCAATTCTAAGTCTTTTAAATAATTCATTTCCAAAATATTAGAAATTTGTTGAAATTGTTGAAGCTAAAAGAAAAGCTGAATTTGAATATGGATGACCTTTTTGATGAAGTAACAATTGAAAAATACTTTGACTTTATTCAAAGTTCTGAACATTTTACAAGATGCAAAACAACAAGTAGCAAATGACACTTGATTTTAAAAAAGTGCTGATCGTAACTGCTTGAATATTTTTTTAAAACAGTTTCATATATCCTTTTAATTCTTGCAACATCAACATACTGTGAAAGGATTTTTAGTGTCATGTCAACTAAATGGCAAAATGAAAGAAATAGGTGTTCTGTTGAACTTTTGAAAAATGAACTTTTTATATATTTTAACTTGAAAGAAATTTGTTTAGAATTTGCTGAAAAAATAAAAGATGACGTGAATTTTCCCAAGTTTGCCAAAAAAAACAGAATAAGTATAATTTTATAAATTAAAACTTTACTGTTTAGTAAGGTAAAAATCTTTCATTTTATTTTTTTGAGAGGAGAGCGCAAACGCAATCCCTAGCTACTATAAATTACATGTCTCATCCCCAGTTTGGGGTAGTGGCAGGGGTCAGCTAGACCCAAGTGCAATGGTCAAGCCTCACCCTGGGGGAGTCGCCATGGCTGGTCCCGGTGCTTTGGGTCTTTTCCAAAACAGGTCTTTTCTTTTTTATGATATTGATGATAATAATAATAATAATAAAAAGGAATTAATATATATTTTGTGTGTATCCTTTATTGTGACTTGTCAGAGTTGGCAACTCTAGTATCAGGAATTTCATTGAAAATATGAAAAAATGATGTTTCCTTTTAATCATCTGACTTTCAAAACTATTATTTAGGCTAGAAATTAAACATTGTTAAATAGTCATTTTAGCTGTACTTTCAATGCCCATAGAAAAATTTGTAATGTAGAAGTTTGATAAGGAAGTTCAACTGTATTTTCAAGAAAATAAAATAAAATATAAAAGATGAAATTTTTTTTAAATTAGGCTCTCTACATATGACAGTTTTTAAACAAATAAATCTGTTTTTATAGAAATAACTGTTTTGTAAATAATTAGATTTTTTAAAATAATACAAAATTCATCTTTATTAATTAAAAATTATTAATTCAATATGATATGAAAATATAAAGCTCATCCTTTTTAATGAGTTATTTTATTTATTTTTAGTTACAAAAAGAATATGAAAAGTTTATTCATCGTTCACAGTGGCTACCAGAATGTGTAAAGAATACTAAATCTGGGGACAGTTGTTCCAGTTTCTACATCCATTCTACTAGAACACCAACTGCTCCAACCACATCAGCAACACACAGTGTGGGTACTTGCCCTATGACTTCTTCTTCTGTTTGCTCTCTTTTTTCAGGTATTGCACCCTGTGTTTTGCACATGATCCTTTGCATGGCTCTATTTTTACTTTCTTTAATTTCTTTTTGAATTCTTTTATGATAACTTCATTTTATATACTCTTTTTTCTACAATTGTTTCTAAATCCGTTAATGTTTTCATGTATTATAGATTTCTAATAAAGCATAGTAAATTTAATTCTCAAACCTTAACAAAATTTTTTTATCATAAAATCAAAATATATTTTATGTATTTGCTGATAAAAAAAGTTTTATATATGAAATTCAACCAAACAAAATGTTAGTGATAGGACAAAATTTAATAATTGTGTAAAAAGTATATTAATAACACAGCAACCAATTCTTCTCTATACAGATTTATTCTAAACTATTCATAGTAATATTGAAAAACTTCTGTATCTGATTATGATTAAAATTTCTTATTTTACTAAATTATAGTTATGTAAATGATAAAAGCAATTAATATATCATTTTATGCATTAAGATAAATATCATGACAAAAATATGCAATAAATAATAGAGAGGTTGCGGCCAACATTTTCATCGCGAAAACGTATACATCGGACATTCAGCGTCATCTTCCTGTACGCCTATAAGTTTAACAATGGTGTGTGGAATGTCAGTGGAATCATGCTCAATGTTCCAAACACCATTGTCAAACTTATAGGCTTACAGGAAGACGACGCTGAATGTCCGCCGTACACGTTTTTGCGATGAAAACGTCGGCCGCAACCTCTCTAATGATTATGGGATAGTAATATTTTTTAGTAGTGTTCATAGACATTTATTCTAATCACTTTGTACTTATGAACATAAATTACAATAAATCTGATATTTTATAAGCTTTACAAAAACTTTTTAAGTGAAACTAGATCTAACAGTTTATATTTATCAGGCAATAAATTATAATAACTGCTTATTTAAAAGTATTCTTTTCTCATTGTAAATATGGTAAATATACAAATTCAACTTCACATAATCAATAATGAATGAAATAAGAGATGGATCGGCTTATTTGAAAAACACACTGTAAAATTATTTTTGCAGAAAATATATATGAAAAATAAAATTTATTCTTAGATTATTTAAATATTTTAGATGTAAAGAATGATGATAATTATATTGAAAAAGTCACAATTTTTATCCATATCTAAAATTTTCATTTTTAATAATTAATTCATAAGACAATGATTAAGTCTGACATATTTCATAGATAGATTTAATCATTATTTTATTTTTGGGCTGCAATTTGAAAAAATTGTAGACTTATAAATTCCCACTGTCATCTGTCTGTTTATCCTTCCTTAATCTCAAGAACAGGGTTAGAAACATCAAAGGAAGACCAGATACATACGTACAAGAAAGACATTGGCTGTACACAAGGTGTTTAGCTGGCAGAAAAGAGGGTAAAGGAAAGGAGAGGGGAAGAAGGAAGCAGAGGAGATAGACAGTATAGAAAGGTAGAAGAAGACCAGATACAGAAAGCTTAGAGGCAGGAAGCCCCAATTAATTATATATGAACTTCTGACGTAAACTGGAAGTCATGTTATTTCAATTCAAACATTTTCCTCTGAAAGGAGTTTGATAGATGACTGGCACAACTCTATTGTTAATGGAAAAGTATGATATATAAGGGCAAGACACTACAGCATTAATTTGAGGCGGAGAGCATATATTTTAAATTAAATAAATTAGAAATATTATTAAAAATTGTAGCCTGGCATTGTGATGATGTCACAATAAATAATTACTTGTTTATTTTTACTATTTATAAAATTTAATGTCTGCAGCCTTAAAGTGATTAAGACTTCTCATTTGTTTACAGAACAAGTGACAATTATACATAATGAGAGTTTTATATATATGTGAAGTTCAAAAATATTTAAATGTGGTCATGTTTAAAGAATGCTTCCTCTCTACTAAATAGGAAATCTAAAATCTTTTTTTCTAATAACAACATAAGATAACAATTTCTAAAAATATTTTAGTTTTAAAATAAATGAAATAAAATTACTAGAATGTTTATTTAAAACTTCATATTTTAATTATTACGATATTCTTACATTAATTGCAAATTTGCATGTTTAACTTTTATTAAAATATATTGATAAATTACAATTCTAAATAATTCTGCATTCTGTTGTAATTTTCTGTAAATTCTACTTAAACAAAATACTGCATGTGAATGAATTTTGGTTTTCATTGTTTTCTTGTGCCACAATATCATATATCAATTTATCTAATATGTTATAAATTTAAAAAATTTCAATGCTTGTTAATTGCTTTTAATTTGGAAACTAATGCAATCTTTTGTTCAGCAAAAATACTATAATTGCTCTACTTGTATTTCTTGAAATAGCAATTGAACTTACAATAAAATTTTTAAAATAATCTATTTCTTGTAATATATATCAAGACTTTATAAAAGTATAATAATAATCACTTTTTACTGTAAAGCTACATTTATAATTGTTTTTTCAATCTTTCTAAAATTTATTTTTATTTCAGGTTAATGCCAATCTTCTTGCAGGATACTTTTAATTCTATTTCTTTATTATTGTGTAGATTACTAACTTAAATATAAATTAAAAGGATAATATTTGGGAATATATATTATTTATAATTGATAAATTCATTTATTAGTCTCTTCACCAAGCAATGGATGTACAGAAAGAACAACCATCAACAAGCAACATAACCATCCCTACATCAATTGTCCAAGGTATTTTTATTAAATAAACACTATATTTTAATTGATGAGTGAACTTTTACTTAAATTTCTTATATTTTAGATCTTCCCTCTATGACACTACAGCAGAGACTGTCACGTGAAAGAACATCTATGAGAAGTAATCAAGGAACTCAAAAGAAATTAAATACCAGAACAAGTACAATGACAAAGACAAGTGATTTAGATAAAGATATTGTACAGTGTCCTAAAGACTACAATTGTGATAAAGTTATTGTTGCAGCAAATTTACATGAACAACAACCTGGTAGAATAATTCATACACCTTATAGTCATATGCTGGGTCACAGTGATAGATACCATTCATACATTGATCATATTTATGAAACCATTGATGATGATCTTGATGTGCCTTCCTATGAGAGGAGGATGTCACCATATGGTTATCATGCTGTAGTTCCAGAAGGTCATATTCGTACTCATTCAGATGCCAGCCGTCAATCTTCTTCCAGTTTTAACTGTGATCACCATCCACTTCTTCCTCCTATCTTGCCACAAAGAAATGCATTAACTGCATTGGCCCAAGTGCTTAATTCAGCTCCAAGGCAAACATCATCTTTAACACAAGACATTTATTGCCAAAGGTGTTCAGATGGTATGGTTTGTCATCATCATGCAAAATTATTCAGTGCTGAAGCTATTCCATTATCAAATGAATTGGATACGTGCTCAACCTTACCTATTCGTTATTTTAGAGAAAAAAACAATGAAATAAATGATGGATGCCATCAAAACACAGTTCCCCATTCTGACAGAATAGCTTGGAACACTGTTCTTCCAGATATAGCCAAATTATCAAATGACAGTGCTGTATTGATGGCTGTTTTAGATGGACAACATGTAGAACATGTGATCTGTAAACCTCATTCAGACATTGCCAATAAATCAAAGTCACATACGACTAATCATCAACTTACTACGGATTGCTGAGATAAACTACATCCTGTACATAAATTTATTTGAAATGTAATGTTAAGAAGAAATTCTTCACATCTATTTGTAAATTGAGGTATTTCTCTACTGTATTCTATTTGCATCTGAAAAATTGCATCCTGTACACTAAACAAAAAATGGAATCTCAGTAAATCGACAACTGTATATGTTAAAAATTTCTGTATGCTCACAGTCGTGCCACCCATTACAATGTAAAATTTTTTGGCACATTTTGTAAAATAATTTCCTGTATATTTATTCTGTTTGTGTTGTCTTGCTTTAAAATGAAATATTTTAAAAACATAACTTTAAAATGTTCTGAAATTCATGTCATATTTTACTGCTTTCAATTTTAAAGATAAAAATAATCAGTTTTCAATATGATATTCTATTACAAAAGTTGGTATTGTAATAATAACTATTTAAATTGGCATAAGTCTGACAACAAACAAATAATAAATTATTGCAAAATTTTTATCGCAAAGTATTTTACTTAATTTTACTCTTCTTACTAGATATTAATTCTTTATAAGTATAACCATATATAATTAAGCATTTGAATATGTTAGACTTGGGTTTATTTAAATAGTTAATATTCAATTTAATTGATATCATTGTATATATACAAATATCAGTATTCAATTAATCTATGAAAATCACAGTTGAATGCATGGGTATGCAGAATTTGCACAATATGATTCTTGTAAATAAATAAACACTCATTTTATATACAAATATATCAGCATTATTAATATAATTGTAATTTACTGAACTAAATATTTGAGAAAAAAATAATTTTGACCATCATGTAGTCAATATAATTTTAAAGTACTTTCAGCAGAAATTTACATTAATTTATAATAAATTAATTAAAGCCATTTTTAACATTCCATAAATGCCTACAAGAATTGATATTTTTTGTCTTTCCATCCTAGATACTAAGTGCGCCTTTTTCACGTCTATTATGGGTTAGGCCAGCCCACAAATGGTTTTGGCTGGACAAAAGAAAGATCCTGACATTAAGATTAAACTGTCCTGAAGGTTCTGAACCAGACTTAAAGTAGGATTTCTCAGAATGGCAGAAAGATTTCTTTACTATCTCTGCCATCTGGTTGTCTATGTTATATATATAGGGTTGAATAAAAAGTCCATACACTCTCTAAAATTTTTAAATCATTGTCATAGAGCCACAGAAGAAATTGACACCTATAATAAAGTGACCATGCACAGTCCATTAAACACGATTTTTGCTCCTAATGGTGAAATAAAGAACTAAAGTAAAAACTAACAGAAATGGGTAAAAAGTCCAATTACAAAATGAAAGAGCATCGTTTATTTAGTACAAAACAATACTTAGTTCAGCAGAAAAGGGAAGAAGACATTAATAAAGTAATAAACATTTATGCACAAAACAATACAGATTAATGCAAAGTTTGTGCAGCACAGTGTTGTTTTGTGCATGTTTATTACTTTTTTAATATTTTCTGTAAGTGTTTCTTACGAAGTATTGCTTTGTACTAAATAAGCAAAGCTCTTTCATTTTGTAATTGAACTTCTTACCTATTTGTTAATTTACTTTAATAATTTATTTTGTCACGAGGGCACAAAAATCACATTTAACTTAATGGTCTGTGCATGGTCACTTTCCTATAGGTGCCAATTACTTACGTAACACTAAGACAGGTGGTTTAAAGATAGTAGGGGGTTACAGACTTTCCTTTGAATAAATTTCTGTGCACACCTATGTGAATACTCTATTATTTGTACTAAATACAATGCTGCATTATTAGCTATAAATTAAGAAGTGAAATATACCAAATTTAAATGTTCTCTACACATTAAAAGTACTGAGAATACAATAAATGTATACATAGTCAATAAAGTACAAAGTAGAAAAATGCCATTAGCATTTTAACATTTACTTGAAGATAATTTTTAAACACAAATGTCAAGGAAAATATAAACTACGAATACTGCCAATTTGCGAGTAGAATGGACTTCAGGGAACACTGCAAATCAAAATAATAATATAGTCACAGTAACAGAGCACGAACCAATACTCTTATCAATTAATTTCTATATTGCCACAAATTATTGCAATCTGGCAAATGTAAATATAATTCTTCACAAAGAAAATAGATAGCTCCGTACACCATATCGATGACTGCATGATCTGTCAAGACTCTTACAAGAAACCAAGCCAAACAAATGAAAATATCAAGAAATTGATAATCTACACCTACAATCACTGCAATTATGTACTGTACAAGAATATAACCCACTACTTCCAAGCATATACTAAGTACTAGTCCTACCAGCTCATCAAGCAAACTGTAGTCACAATCTGGGTAATATCCTAACCCAGCATTTCCCAAAACAAGCGTCTAGCTGCAGAATGACTTTGGCTGCGACCGACAGTAACATCTCTAGCAAAATATGTTGCGCGAAATCTTAATAACGCTAAAAAAATCTGCGTAGACAATGCCTCGACCCCTTCCCTCTCAATCGTTTACAATAATGAACTTTTCGTAAATTCCTCCCCTTAATTTAACTGTTTCCTTGGCGGTGCGACGAGCTTTTAGAGAGATGTTTCGGGATTATTTCCACAGTAATCGTTGCTATCGTGCACCGTAGCCGCTAAATAAACTTGCAAGTAAAATCAAGGATTAAGGTTTCAGCCTAACACTGGAGATTGAATCCGGGCGGTCGAAAAACTCCAAGAATTTTTTGGAAGTGGTCGGGTTCTAGATATGTCGGGTCCCAACACAATGTCACCCGACCGCCCCCATTTTGAACCTGGCGAATACGATTTAAAAACCTTGTTAGTGTCCGCAGACAAAAAGAGTGAAAAATTAAAAGTAATTGACTCACAGTCTAATTTTTCTCACAGTTAAATTAATGTAAATTTCAATGAATTTCTTATGCATTGTATCAGGTTTATTCAAATAATTTTATTATAATGTTTAATTTTTGACTCAAATAGTTTTTATTTAAATATGAAAAATTTTAATGGAAATTTGGTTCTTAAACTCTAAAGAAGAAGATAAGAATGGAAAAGAACAAAATAAAGAATAAAAATTTAGAAAATGATGAAGAGTTGGCAACTTTTAAAGTATTTCAAACATGGCGGAATCCAGTGACAATGTGGCTACAAGTGAGAAACCTGAACCTGATTCTTCTATTCCTAAAAGAAATATCTCACGTATTAAAAATAAACAGAGACGATTAGAAGAATATTTAAAATTAAAAAAGGAACAAAAGAAGGTAAAGTGATTTTGTTTTTCGTAAAAATGTGTTTAAATGCTAAGTGCTTATGTGCTTTCTACCTTATTAAGGCCATAATTTGACTCAATTCAGAGACGGTTGGGCTTAATTCAAGCTCTGAATGATACATTTTGGGACCTTAACAGAGCTGTAGAGCTTCCCATAGGAGCAAAAAAGTCAAAGGAACCATACCTCTACATGTGACCCTTTTGACATGCTCTACAGCTCTGTTAAGATCCCAACAGTGTCATTCACATCTGCAATCTTACCCTTGTCTTCAGTGGTTCACTCAGGATTTAATGTTGGGGGATTCGAGTTAAATGGATAAAAAAATGGCACTTGTACAGATTAACGGGTACGGCTATTTGAGAGATTTACTTCTATAAAATTAACTAAATCTAGACTAATTTCAATCGAATATTTCCAAAACACGTATAATTTGTTGAAATGATCGATATAAAATATGCTATGAACAAAAAATTGTCGGAATACTTATCGAGTGTACCCGTTCGAAGACGCCATTGCTTAAGCTTGTTTTCGTCGCGGAACGGCACATTCTTCGTACGCGTCCGCTTCCAATGTGTCGGTGCTATTCGGTCACGTGACTACTCATCTCTGACGTGTTCCTGATAACTTATTCTTTTTGCGAAGAATTCACTGAACTTTAGAGACATCATGTGATAGATTACAATAAAAAATCTATAGTATATTATGATTAAAAACGACTTATTATTATTATTGACTATATGAAGCAGCAAAGGAAAAACCACTCGCTAACGACAACAATTCTATCATGATATATATTATAATGATGATAAATATTAATCAGATGCAACATAAGATGTCTAATGTCGATGTAAATAAATATTATACAATTTTGTTTACGACATGAGAGATTAGACCATTGAAAAGTAGAACAGAATTATTAGTTATTTATCGCATTATCATACGTTATTATATGTTGATTTTAATCCATATTTAGAATGGAATGAAGTTTTAATATTTCTGTTAATGATGTCTCTAAAGTTCAGTGAATTCTTCGCAAAAAGAATAAGTTATCAGGAACACGTCAGAGATGAGTAGTCACGTGACCGAATAGCACCGACACATTGGAAGCGGACGCGTACGAAG